AGGACAATAGGCTTTTTTCAATTTATTATATAAAGTACTTTTATTCCATGACTGAAATAATTGAACATTTGACACAAGGTGCATTGGTACATGAAGTGACAATTTACCTGTGAAAAAAAATTTAAATAGTTTTACTTAGTATATTCTTATTTTCAAGAAAAATGAGATATATTTTTTATATTAATAGGATCATCTGTCCAAAAATTCAAATTAAAGTGTAATTTGAATTTAAGAGCTGGCAATAACGTCATCACTGTGCATGGTAAAGGACCATCATTAAAACTACTGCGGAGCTGAGAAGAAAACTCTATTAAGAAATCTTGAAGATTTTGATAAATTATAATTTCTTGAAATTTCCATGATCGCTTTTGTTTCTTCATTGAGAAGATATCTCATATTTGTCAAAGTGAATGAAAGAGTAACATCTTTGTTTGTTTCATATCTGCATATTATTGACAAATAAAAGTTATTGAGGCTGTATAACTTATGGGATTTTACCGGTATTAGATTTTTAATTTCTTCAGAATTGAGTACAAGTTAATATTAGAGAGCAAGAAGGCAAAGATTGATGAAGCTGTTCTATAATACCGGGTATACATGTATGAAAGCTGTTGCAAAAGTAGGACAATCAAAGGACAGCAAACTTAAAAGCAGAATCCATGAGAATCGACCTCGTAACATTTTCTTAAAATCATGTACAGTGTAGGAATCATAGAAATATTAGAATTTCAATGATGAGCTCTACTGGACAAAAGTCGGAAGAGATACCTTGATGACAAGGTGTTCGTCGTCTAAATGTTTCTGTTTAAAATGGTACATTGTATACTCCTCGTATACTCCAGATCACAGATTTTATCCGATTTTAAGGAAACATGGAACATCAATAGGCTATACACAGAATTCGGTAAAAGGTATTGTCATGGTTTATTAAACTGAAAACTCACTTGAAATTCTTTTAAAGTCTAGCCTCTTTTTTAGCAATTCTAATAAAGACTTGAATTACAAGTACACTATACTTCATACACTTAAAAATACAGAATTGTAGGTGTTTTGATCGGTTTTTGATTTAAAAAAAAAAGAAAAAAATAGATGTCGCAAAATAAACGGCTGACATCGGTCAAGTCCCAGACAAGCTTTTCTCCTCTGTTATTAACGTAGAATCCAATACCGTGCATTTAAAGATCTCTGTTTTATTTTCATCCCATTTATTCCTTTTTTATTAATGTTTTCAATTTAAGATCCTGCATTAATTGCATTAATTTTTAAATTAAAATGTAATTTGGATTTAAGAATATTGAAGGAATACCGAGGAACCGAAATAAATTCCTGTGTATGCACATTAATTAGGTTCCTGATATCAGTCAATTGAATAAGGCAATAAATACCTGCAATCCCCGCAACAAATGATTTAGGAGTAGTTTGGATGACACAGCAAGTTAACATCTTGAAGATTTTGATAAATTTATAGTTTCTTGAAATTCCCACACAACGTGATCGCTTTTGTTTCCCCAACTTCGGCAGATATTTCAATATTTGTGAAAGTGAATTAGCTGCCCGCCTCAACTTTTTCCTTTGAACATCCCTTAAAGTCTCTATCACTATAAAACTTTCCTTTCTCACCTTTAAAAGGTTTAACTCCAGCAAATTATAAAGTTGTTTATTTTTCCTGACAGCATGATGGCTGTTTGCTATTCATTTAAAGGTGTCATAACAGTATTACACTTTGGTTCACGTCAAATCATGGCTGAAAATTAACACAAACTTTCTATGGGCATTTTGATTCAGACTGGAGCTGAATTTTTTTATGAGATGAAAAACAACATGTAAACTTCCTGTATTGACCAGATTTATTAAAATTTCTGCTGATTTTTCTGTATACAAGAGTTAATGATTAGAGAGAAAGAAGGCAAAAGATTGATGAAACAAAGCGTGCCTTGCTGGATAATACCGGGTATTTTTTGTACTAAAATCTTTATAAAGAATGGTTTTACAATCAAAGAAAGCAAACTTCAGAAAAGCAGTTACATCATGAGAATCAAACTTGCGCATTTTTCTGATAGAATATATACAGAAATTAATACTGTTGTGACACATAGAAGCATGATTTGAGCCAGGGAATCTGTTTCAAATAATTCATACTATAGATCATTCTTATAAGAAATAGTAGTAAAACGAATTATTTGAAACAGATTATTGTGGAACTCTTCAACACAGTACAAATCGCAGATAGTTTTTGCTTGGATAATAAATTCGTCCATGCATCTCTGTACATTTAAAAATTATTATAATACCTAATATGGTGAATAATCCTTGATTTCTATAGCTAAAAATAAAACATCTGTAACAGTATTAAACAGATTTTATCCGTATATTTAAGTAAACATGGAACATCAATATACATATATATTATATTTCGGTAAAAAATGTTGCAAATAATTTATTAAACTTAAAACATATATTTGAAATTCTTTTAAAGTCTAGTTTGTTTTTAATTCATTGTAAAGACTTGAATTAAAGTACACTATACTAATCAAAAATTAAAAAAAATATCAAATTTGTAGGTGTTTATTATCGGTTTTTGATTTAAAAAAAAAGAAACCAAATACACTGCTTAAAATAAGGAGTTCCCTATGCAAGAGTGTTTTTTTTAATGAAATTTAACCTTTTGTTGTTTACATCGATATGATCAACCCCTAAAAAAAGAAAAAAAATGAACAGAAAAAAACCCGGCAATTTATTTTCCAAATACGACACTCAAATTTCAATTTTAATATATATACCCTTGACATGATACCTGAACTTCTATATATGAATCAAAATTACGATCTTAATATTCAATGTAATAATGTAATATTAATTAAAAGAAAGAACAAGGTTACCCCTTTTCAGAACGTTTCTTTCATTTTTTTTATACCGAGTACGTAATAGTTTTGTTATTTGTAAAATAATGCTGTACATAAAATAATAAAACATGGAATAAATTTAAGCTAACGAACCTCGTTGAACATAAATTCCTGTGTATGCACATTAATTAGTTTTATAAATGATACAGTGTAAATGATTTTGGGTCAGTTTTACTTTAATTCTTCTTTTCTTTCCCTCTTTTTTCTTTTTAATGCTTTTAAATCGTGCAGGTTCGAGGCAATATGTGATATTATATTATTTTAGAGGTGGGGGTGTGGTGTGTATAATTTGGACATGCAGTACGTATAAAATGCTAATAATAAATGTGTATTTATAAGCAAAACTAGGTTTACATTCTGGATTCTCTCTTTCATTTTGGTGACAAGGGGTCGCAGTTTTTCACATGCACTTTAATCCTTTAACTAAAATGAGATTTTTTTTTAAATAAAGGCTGTGGCATCTCACCTGTGTAAAATGCAATACGGAAAATTAGACTTCATGTTTTGATCATATTATAATTTTCAGCTGAGAAGAGAGAGAGACCTTAAAAAAATGTTGTTTTTATGTAAGGCAAAATTTACATTGTAAAGAAAATATTTGAATAGGCCATCATAGATATTTTTTGCTGCAATAAAAATAACCTTAGAAAAATACCTTAGAAATAGCACAAAGGGTTAATATTGTCAATTTTTATTAAGACACGACAAAGAATATTAATTACTCAAGAAAGCCACATAAAGGAATATAATAATTTGATTACAGAACTTCTCCTTCGGATAAAATGTCTTTAAGTAAATTAACCAACATTTTAAAATTGTACATCCAAAAAAATGCAAAATTGATGCAAATTTGATCTGATAGGGCTTGGAGTTACTTTGAAATAGACCTATCCAAAAGCTTTAAACCAGTCGCCCATCAATTAAAAAAAAATGCAATTCAGATCCAGCATCTGAAGCAAGTATGAAAGTTTTCATCCCTTGATGCATCATTTGTGCAAGTTTGGTATATAGGCCTTATAGTTTCTTGGTGATAGACCTGCACCCATAACTTTTACCTGGTCCATTATCTGGAAAATGTTTGTAGAATTCTTTTACCGAAGCAAGTCCATTAGTGTGCATCCTTAGATGTATCATCCATGCAAGTTTGGTCAACATAGGACTCATATATTGTAGTTACTTGGAAACGAGACCTACATCAACAGCTGCTCCAAAAACATTAACCAGGTCATTCCTTTGCTGAAATTCATTATTGCAGCATCTGAAACTTTGACTGGTACAATGAAACACACTAGAAGCATCTTCCATGCATGTCTAATCAATATAGGGCATAGAAAAGCTTTAAAAGAAAACTGCTCCAAAAACCTTAACCTTAAGCCTAGGGTACGTATCACATAACCATCCCCAACTTCGTTGAAAATCTAAGCTAAAAATGTAAGTCAAATCCAGCATCTGAAGCAATTCTGGTAGTTTGCATTAATTATATCCTCAGTGCTAAGTTGGTTAGAACATACACCTGGTCACTTCTGTGGAAAATGTAGGTCATATCCAACATCTGAGGCAGGTCCAGTATGTACATCTTTAGCAGTATCATCGTGCAACTTCTGTCCAGGTATATAAAAGCAAATAGTTACCAAATATTGAACCTGCTCCAAAAACGTTAACCTGGTCACCCTCCAGAAAATATAAATCGAAATTAGTATATGATGCAACTCTGATAGTTTGTACAGGCATCCTTATATGAATGTATAATTGTATACATCATCCAATCAAGCTCCTTTAATATATATCTGTCTTAAGAGACATGCTACAAAAACTATAACCTAGTCATTTCTTAGCTGAACAGCATGTGAAACCTTGACTGGTACAATGAAACACATACTACAATTATCTTCCCTGCATCTCTGATTTATGTTCGACATAGAAGTATTTTAAAAAAATTCTCCAAATACTCTGCTGTCCAAAATGTTGATTCTTTTAATTATTTTCATGCTAAAGCTAGCCAGCATTGGCCATTTTTTTTCCAGTGTTGATTCACTATCAGCAGCATTAGGAATTCTCTTAGAAATCAGATAAGATTTTCACAGTACCAACGCTATATTAATAATATCTCATGCATTTATTGCTTTTAAAATGCATTCAATACCAGAGATGTGCAAGTTTTGCCATTAGAAACTCACATCAATATTTTGATTTAACACTTTTTCTCTAGTGTATTACATGTAAACATAACTTGCAGTAATATTTAAATCTAAAATAACTATTATCCTACCTTACTTAAAAAATTGTAAAATTGTCTTTGGCAAGTACAATAAACATACAAAGGCACTCTCTAAGCTCAACAATAAGCTACGGCAAAATCTAATAACTACATGTATATCTGATACAAAGATCTTGCGGAATAGAATGATTGCTTTTTATAAATGTTTTTCATTTTATAGTTTGTGAAGATTTCATGTACTAGAATTTGATCAATACTTCATTATGAATCAATATATTAAATCATAAAATAATTTAATATCCTATTCACTATTTTCTTTGGACTTTAAAGTATTCCTAGTCCATAGTCTGAGAGCTGATGATTTTTATAAGTGCAACACATACAATGTACTGATCTTTTATAAGCTCTCAAATGGAAGGGCAGTGCTCACACCACAAGTGAAAATCTTTGTTGTGACAAAATTATGATAAAAAATTGTTTTAAAAGATTTGGTGATGAGAACATGATCTGCTTTAATATTCACATCTTCAGTCTTTTTTTCCTGTCTGTTCTTTCTTTCTTTTAACTAGTTCAGCTAGGTACTTGAATCTGGATATACAATCCTCCTGTTAAATAAAACATATATTATAAATCTTGTTCCCTTGGTTCAGGTACAAAACACTTTTCCAAAATTTAGGGTACTCATACAGAATACTTTTTATGAAACATTGCTCAATTTGCAAACAAGAAAATGCACCACTACATGTAAACAAGTTTTACCTTAGATTTCCCTGGAATATGTTCTGCTATTTTCTCCCATCTTTGGTCTGTACCTTTGGGGTGCTGTCTTAATGCCCACTCTAGAATCGTCTGCTGGTTCTTATTCCAACCATCAGATTCATCAGTAAGTCTTAAACTGTCCTGAGTATTATCACAAGATGCTCCTCCTTCTAAGTTACTCCCCTTGGAAGTACTCTTTAGTGTTTCTACATTTGTCTTTTTGGAAGCTTTGCTTCTCTTTCTGATTTGTATATCACCGTTTTGAGACATATCCTTCTCTGACTGGCTATCACTATTTTCAACTGACTTTTGAGATATGATGTCATCTGATATAATCAGAGATTTTTTCCCTTTACCCACTCCCCCTAAAAATAGAATTTCATTGCACAAAATTTTGTACTTGAATATGGATACAAATGAACATAAAGGATTGCATACACCTCTGTTATAAAAATATATGATGAATCTGAATCAAAATTTGTTTATATTTACTGTCTCTGACAAACATCAACTACTCTTTGCCATTTGTGGAGAGAGTGCTAAACCCTTACTCTTCAAGGAGTTTGATCACATTTTAATGTCATCACAACTCCTCCACTTTCAAAGGTTGCTCATAAATTTTTTTCTGCACATTGCAACTTAATTTAAGAATTATGTATTTTTTTTTATTTTCTTTTTGCTGCAATTGCTTGTGTAAATGTTTGTTACCTTGTACTGATGTAGATAATGTCATGGCGTGACTGTCCTTCATCTTTTGACACCTGGCGATTACCTGAAATATATAAATTAAATCAAATTAATATTTCCCAAGGTGTGTGTCTTCATGCTCTACATGGTTGTTAGAAGGTACAGCTAGTAATTTTTTCTAATGTAATTTTTTCTAAATGTGAATGCTTTTTTAGAGAATAGCTATGAATGACCTATATATAAATTTTCATGAAAATACTAAAATAATATAGATATGATTTTACATGTCAGGGCTCTCCACATTTGAAAATTTAACATATGGCAAGAGAATACAGAATAATCTTCATTATAATTGGTAATGCAGCACAAAACATGAAATAACTACCACTTTTTAAATTTAGTAATTAGCACACTGCTTTTTTTCAGGAAAAAAAGTTGGTACAGGTAGCCAGTAAGCATGGCATGATTACATAGGCTATGAAAATAATAAAACTGATGAATGGGTAGTGTATTTTTATATATAACTTCTCATATCATAACAGTTATGAAAACTTGTCGTCTACTAAAATAATATATATATGATTTTACATGTATTAAGTCTATTTATGTGAAATGTATAAATTAAAATACCAAAATTATTTACAATTGCAATTACAATTAAGCAGAAATTTTAATAAGGATTCTGATTAACGATTTTGTCATTTTTACATAGTATAAACACGAGGGTGTCATGAGATTTTAACCAACACATAAAAATAAAATATATTTCTGACAATGAAATATATATTCTACAGAAATTTTAGTGAGGTAAGCTAAAATGTAAATATTTCTTTACACCACAAAATCACTGAAAATAATTCTCGTAAAAATTGATTACTGCATTTTAAGGACAAATTGCTAAATTTACGTCTCACTTAAAACTCCACTTTTACGGATAATCAGTCAGAATTTCATGGGTATTAAGTCTATAGACAACAATACAGCACCTCCTCCATGGGCCTTCCCACAAGGTCAGCTATTTTCTGCCATCTGTTGGGGGTACCACCTGGGAATTTGTTGGCAGCTTTAGCAAGTTTTGCCACCTCTTCATCGGTCCATTCCCCACTCTACAAAGTAAAACTCCTCATCAAATCTAGGTCACAAAAATTCTTTAATATTATATTGTTTTACAGAACTGTCCCTGAAAAAGTATTTTTTAAATAAATAGGTCAAACTACAAGATGTATTTGCAGACAAGCCTATAAAATTAATTCTGCACATAAAAGGTTAAATAAAGAAATGGGAAAGAGAACAAATCATACTCTTGGCTTAACACTTACAAGTTTCAAACATACATGTAAATTTACAGAAATTTCACAAAATTGACAACCTCTACACCAAACCTTAGAGCTGATATCTGTGTACGTGTGCACATAACAGTTACTTTTTGAGGAAATGACACTGTACTAACCTTGACTTGTTTGTATTCCTGATCTTCATCATCTGAACGTTTGATCACATTATTGTACACCACTGCCTCTCCCTCTGCTATTTTGATTGTTTTTGGATTTAGAGCTGCATCAATACGAGGCTTAGATTTTTCCTCTTTCGCCAGAACTATAATTATCATTGAAAATAATAAACAGGTACATGTATAAAATTTTAAAATACATTACATTACATGCATATGCCTGAAAGATGTCACATGTAACTGATAAATTCTTTCCACTGGGATAAAGTCTAATTATGTTAAAAGTCAGACCTTAAAATTTAATGTTGTTCACAACTGCTGAAAAAAAAACAATGTAGTATATAATGGTACTATGATATGTTGAGATTCATACTCTTGATATTTCTAAAGCAGAGAAAGGATGAGTTACTCTAAATCTTACATAAATTTAAAACCATGATTGTCCCTATAAGAATTGAAATAGCAGGGGACATTGAAAAAGAAGTGGGTTTGGGGTTCCTCTCTTAACAGAGGGTAGAGGGGGAATACCAGAATAATTGGGAGGATTATATAATTATAGATGGGTAATCCCCCCAGGTCTTAGGGACAGCTCTGGTTTTACTCCAGGCTGGTTAGATATAAAACTTATCCTCACTTTCTTCCTCTTCCCTTCTCCTGGCTTCTTCTTCTTCCTGCCTCCTCATCTCTTCTCTCTCTTCCCTCCTCTTCTTTATATTTTTTGGAATATTGATAACTGATATTACAGTGAATATGGCTAACACGACTGGCCAGAGCTGTGATACTCGAGGGCGAGGGACAGCGTCCAATTTGGCCTCCAGTAGAGTGTCTATTTGATCCTCCAGTTGTTGACGAGCTTTCCTGTTTTTACTTTTTGCTTTTTCCCTCATTTCTCCAAAGTTTTCTGACTACAAATATATATTGCATGCCAAATATAAAAGATATAACACAAAAGAATTTCATATCAAAATTTTGATTGTTGGAAAGTTTTCCTTTCCTACAGAGAAGCTTTCCAAGTGTAGTTATTCTCACAGGCCAGAATAATTTAAAAGAGACCAATTTTTACACAAAAGAAAATGAAAAAAAAGTTTCATTTTGTACATTATTTTAATACATTGATTTAAACTTAATTGTAAAATTTTGAAATACAAGGAATTATTTTACATTTGATTTACATTCAATACCTCCCCCATCTGAAAAATTGAATAAAAAACATACCAATGTGAACTTCCTCTCTGCATAAACAGCCCACATTATGATATACTGGCCCACTGTTGTGATAACGAAAATAACCACAAAGAACTCCAGCAGTCCCATCTTACGAACCCGGCGGTAGTAAAAGATTGGCTGCCTCCAATCCGGCAAGCCATTCTCTAACACTAAGTGATACCTGAAACATGTCATAAGCAGTTTGAGGCATGTCATAAGCAATGTGAATGAAATGATATAACTTGCATAACTGGATAACAAAAATAATAAAATACAATTTTACCAAAAGTTTCAACTGCCGATTTAAGCAAAGTGTTATTATTTAAAGTTTAGAATGTGCCTTATAAGAGAATATGCCTTATAAGAAGAAAATCAGGTTATACTGTAAATGATTCTCCTTAGAGAAATGGACAGGCTTTCGCCTACATCCTCTGGATGGATGTAGGCAAAAGTGAATCTACTTCTCTAAAAATAATAGGGTAAATGTATATTCAAAAATTTATACATTCTAATTGTCATGATTGTTGTCCTAATAATTGTTTCTGTATTGCAACATCATTATCCATTTAAGTCACAGGCACTTGTTTCCGTAACTATACATTTTTCAAGTACACCATGACCACAGAAACAAATCTGGAAGTTGGAAGTCATTTAACAACTTTTTTGTCATAGAGAGAATGAAAAATCTAGCATGTCACTCATCACTTTATGAAGGTAATGATGACTGAAGATTGGAAGTCATATAATATACAGAAATTGAAGTGATTGTGGAAGATGGGCTTCTCCATGTATCTTGTAGTTAGACATCTCATCATTTTATAAAGATAATAATGATTAAGCAGTTTTCTACTTCAGTTTCCATGAGAAAATGATTGCTTTTGTGGAAGGTGGGCTACTCCATGCAGCCTGTACTTAGAGACACCTTGTGTTATTATTACACTATGGGATAAAAAAAATTCATTACAGAAACAAGTGCCTGTGATTAGAATGTACATGTATGCAACTGTATTTGAGCATATAAACAAACCTTTTTCTTTTTTCTTCATCTTTAAGAGTTTCATATATTCCAACCAACTGAAAAAGATAAATATGATATTGATTGTTGACATCAATTCAAATTCAGAAATTTTATTCATGCATGAATTCAATCGAGATGCAAAGAAAAAATATGGGGAGGGCAAACGTGACCACTGACTTCAGTAATTGTATCTTCAACAACAGGAAAGGAGAAAATGTAAAATGGCTGGACCAGGAATGGAACCATGCAGGACCCGTGCATCACTGTTTCACAAACCAGGTGCTCTAATGACTGTGCTACTCAGGATAAAATCAACAGCTCAAACTATTATTACACCTCAAATTTTTGATACAATGAATTTGCAATTAATGTGTCGGATATTATCAAATCTAGTAAAATAACTACATATGTATTTTATTATATAATGCACAACTGTTTGAAGACCGTGCAACTTTTCTTACACGACCGCCATGCATAACCTGAAAAAAGCTCTAACATTAAAAATGATTTATGAAGCTAATTTTAAGATGTGTATGATATTCATGCTGAGCATGCTAAGTGTTGTAACGGACCTGGTTATGAAACCAATTAAAAATTTTTATATTTGCTATTTTGAATTAGAAATCATTAATTTTCTGAAGTATATAAATTTTTGGAGGCGAAGCTGTCTGGATTAAAAATAAAAAAAATTATTTGATAAAGATTTTCCACCAAATATTTCTGCTACATTTTCTTATAACTTGGTAGGGGAGACAAAGAGGGAAAATGAAAACTGGGAATCTGGCGAAACCTCCAATATGGCGGCCAACGGGAGGTAACTTTCGCTAAATTCAGGCCTATCGAAAACTATCTATACATACTGAATGTATTAAAACGTACTGTTTGAAAAATGAAAACCATCACTACATCAACAACTTTGCAACTTTTCTTACACGGGTAACCTGAAAAATGCTTTAACATTTGTAATGGTTTGGGCCGTGGAAAAATATGAAAGTGTTGTGAAAATACATATAAAATAACATAAGATGTTTTATTTATTTATTGATAAGGAAAGCAACTGTCAAAAACGACTTTTATGCTAATATGAGGTTTAAAACAGCCACACATTTTCTTTTCCTGTTACACATTTGTGTATTTGTGTGTACTTTAGTAGCTAAGTAAAGATGTATAGGATATACATGGTAAGTGTTGTACCGGACCTGGTTATGAAAATAACTTTTGATTTAAATACTCAGATACTTACTTGTCTAAATTTAACTTCAGCATTTTCCTCTTTGCTTTTATCAGGATGAAGAATGAGGGAAAGACGTCGGTATGCTTTACGAATTTCGGAGGACGAAGCTGTCTAGATAAAAATGAAAACAATGAATTTATTAAGCAATTGACAAGCACAACAACTTACATGTATCAGACAGATGGTTACAAAGAACATGAGGAATGAGAGAATCATTGAAAGATCAAAAGAGCACTTACCGAGGGGACCCCTAAAACCTCGTAGAAATTTTGGTTTACTTCCTCTACCAAATCAAAAAGCTCTAAATCGTCAGTATCCCAAGAAAATACACAATTAGCAATTATAGTCCACGTTAACACATGAAACAACTTCATCACGCTCTTCTGTCTAGTGGAGGTAAATAAAGTCCTTTTATTGAAGAGGTACCTACACAGTTTATCGTTAAACTATTTGATACTTAAGACGCTTTGACTCAATTGTGTTATAAACATGATCAAGACAAACAACTGGTTGATTTAAAGTTACATTACCTTTGATAGAGAAATCAATGTACAATACTGCAAATTTTCTTGTGGCTTTGAGAAACAAGAGGCCAATGGGTCACATCGCTCACCTGTTACCAGATTTCCCTCTTTGTATTCCATATTAAGGCCCGCCCCAGAGGTCATACCCCAGGATGCTTCCACATAATTTTCAGCTTTTCTGGCCCAGTGGGTCTTGAGAAGAATATTTTTAAAGATTTTCCCTATATATGTAAAATTTGGATTCCCTATTGTGTCCCCGCCCTACCCCGGGGGTCATGATTTGAACAACTTAGAATCTAAACTACCCAAGGATGCGTCCACTTAAATTTCAGCTATTATGGTCCACAGGTTCTTGAGAAGATGATTTTTTTAATGACCCAACCCTAATTTCGCCTTTCCTTGACTATCTCCCCTTGGAAGGGAGCTTGGCCTTCACTTTAAAAAAAAATTACAATTTCAACTTTCCTTTACCCAAGGATGCTTTTACCAATTTTGGTTAAAATTGGCCCAGTGGTTCCTGAGAAGAAGTTGAAAATGTGAAAAGTTTACAGACGGGGGACGGACAGCTAGAAGACGGACGAACGACAGACATTGGGTGATCAGAAAATCTTACTTAAGCTTAATTATAGCTCAGGTAAGCTAAACTTGGAATTTTCAATAAGTCATATCACTTCTAGTCTTTTTGAATATGTGATATCATTTATTTAAATATCGGTGATATAATCTTTTGAATTTTGATAAAATCGATTATTTCACAAATACATGTAAATAGGGGCCTTGGTGATATCAATCACCACTAGTAATTCATATCTTTTGTGTTTGGTCAGGCCAAAATTACATTTGACATTTTTCTGATATGAAAATATCAAAGTCATAAAAAAATCCTGAAACGTAATTATATTTCTGACTATACTGATTGGTCATCAACAAAATTTCCTCGAATCGTTAAAAATGTAACTCTCATTCTTTTTAATCCACTCACAAGTCTCTGAGGTTGGGTGAGTTGATTTCTTGATCATTCTATCGGAATGTAAATGTCGCCAAGAGAAAGTCAAGAGCCAAGAACGCCTAGCTAATATATGTGTAAATTTCGCACGTCTGTCTTTGTGTCTAACGTCAGTGGGTGGGAACTATTAAAATTGGGAGGCCTCGTGGGATCTACGTTTACAAATCTATTAGATAACATTTTTTCAAAATCCTTTTTTTAAAAAAAATGAAATGTAAATATAAGGAATCACTTAAATAATTATAAATTGAAATACCCAACAGACAAGACAATGATTCCTTAATTAAACAACCAACACCAATATGGAATCCATAATAGAAAAAACAACAAAAACAGATAGAACAAATACAACGCAAAGGGATTCGTTAGCAACAAACCTTAATTACAATCAAGAAGAATCTGACAGTGTAACCTCTATCATCTATGATGCAGGAACTAAAATGGAACAGAGGCGTATTAATTAGACTGTTGTAACACTCGTATAAAGTGGTCAACCAACTCATATAGCAGTCACAGTATCATACCAACTCTCTCTAGCAACAGTTCGAAGAACTAGGAACAGTCACTGCCCAAACTTTGTACCATATCACTGCCGCATTAACATCAACCAACATTCATTTTCCCCCAAAACATTCTACTACTGGAACACTCTACCGGAATCAATCCTACTTTCACCATCGTTGGAGCACTTTAAAACATCTATTCAGAACTTCAGACCATGGAACATTTACCCTGTATACTAATATGTACCAATAGTGAATTGTGCAGGAAATATCTCAAAATGGTATAACATACCGTTCTTTGGAATATATATAACTAAGAGAGTTATAAGTTTTAAAAGTTGTTCTTGCCAACAGTCTTGTGGCCTTTGTATGTGTCTTCGAGAATATGATGGCGCCCAAAGCGCCCTGAAATGGTAGAATTTTTAAAGTCCCAACAGAATGCTCTTCAAAAATCAAAGTATGCCAACCGGTGGTCGAAATCTATGATCAGAGCTTGCCTTACCTTATAGAGCATATTTAGATCTTCAGAATAGTGGCTTCATGATTCTACCCTCCCAGAGACAGCTACAGTTCTACAAAAATGAGGTCCAGCAGAAAGAAGGTGTCAATAAAGATCTCCTTCACTGGATTAGGAATGAGGCAGTCCAGAAGAATATTCCTCCGGAGGCTATGAAGGTGGTCGTTGTCTGAATGAAATGTCCATTCAAAGTGATTTGCAATTTTACTGTAAAAATGGGGAATACCATATCACTGGATTTACAGACATCTCTGAAGAAACAAATCTAATGGAACAAATTAAGTCATGGAAGCATGAACTGAAACTATGTTTTGCAGTTTGTTTTCTTAGGATTTCCATTTTCCGATGATTCAAGCCTCTATATGTGATTTATATTTAGAATTTTGGAAAATTGTTGATATGCTTAACATTTCCGGATTCTTTGTCAAATATGTAAGCTGAGATGGTGGTGCAGCGAAAAAATTGAGATCTAGGGAATATTCTGATGGGAGACTTCAATTTATTATCAATGACCATAAAAATTAATTCAATACATCTTTACTCCCTCCCCTGATGAAATTGTCTTCATAATGGATTACTCCCATGTACCACTGTAATTTTAAAAAGCCCGAAATAACATTAACAAAAGCGGCACGGGTTTTTCCAAGAAAAAACTTTCCTGTAATGGACATTTCATTTACTGGAATTACCTGTATTTTGCTCATGTGTGGGATGTTTCACACAATCCCTTCCCAGTGCATAGCAAACTGACACATAAACAGTTCTTCCTCACCAGTGAGGCCAAAATGAGAACAAGGAGGTGCCACAATTCCTGGTTATATACTCATAAACTCTTGATGATAACACTTACCTTTGCAGTACAATAGCGCTACTTCAGCACACCAGTTCCTTGTTAACTCTCAAATTTCAGAGACACAAGACCTATCACTGATCCTTTTGATGCACGCATTAAGAGAACATGGCAGAAGTGGGAGAAGTCAGTCGAAGAAAGACCAGATAAAGACAAATGCCTAATACACCAAACAAGAGCTGATCTGACATCAGTAATCATTGGATTCAATGAACTGTGTTCACCTTAATTAAAACAATCATCAGCATCTATCATTCCAAAAAGAATTTATTCGGATGTTATTGAAAATGTTTTTGCCCACAGCGTGGCCTTCATAATGGAAATAATTCAAACCCAAATTACTTTACATACTGCCGCACAATGAATGCCGTAATTCTTGGACAGCCCACGTGTTAAGGAAGTCCAATTCTGGCCTGATGGAAGGTGCTGCTCCTTTCTCCGAGTAAACATTTTCAGGTATGGGCAAAATGCTTTACATATTAATACTTTAATATTTCTTGTAATCTAACAACCAAGCTATATGATAAATGTGATGACTTAAACTTTTCTATCGTCAACTTCCCTTACTTATATGCAGTAATATAACCTTCATCACCTGCATACGGAGTATATATATCTCAGTTGATTTGATACGCAAGAGCATGCTCTACGTATGAACAATTTCTAAAACGGGGTAAATTATTGACAAGCAAGTTGATGAAACACGTATATCGTTTATATAGTCTCGTTTAAAGTCAACATTCCGTAAGTTCTATGGTCGATACAATGACCTTGTCAGCAAATACAATTTATCATTGAGTCAAATGTCGACTGATGTTTTTCATACTAATTGTTAGTCCATTATTTATACACTGAATTGACAACGGATTTTTCCCGATCATGACAAGGAGCACATGGCGGGTGTGACCGGTCGGCAGGGGATGCTCACTCCTCCATGGCACCTGATCCCACCTCTGATGTTTCGGAAGTCCGTGTTTGCTCTGCTTCTGTTTTATATTGTTTTATGGACTTTGAAATTGAATACTGTTCGTTATCTCCATATCTTTCTTGCAAAGTGATGCATCGGTATATCAAATACTTTAAAAGTTCCCAATCACAAAGATTTTTGATTTATAGCTGAACTATCCTTAACATTTCGTACATTGTTCAACTTTGCAGATTATAATATGATATTACATATACAAACGTGAACTTGTTGTTTGTTTATCATGGATTTAATTTAAATTAATAACTTACCTATATCATGGACTTCTACAACAGTTTCCCCATCCCGTATAAATATATATATGAAAATTCTCAAATACATGAAATAAGCTTTGATTACTTGTGACTGACGTTGAGCAGTCTGGACAGAACCACATATCAGATGATATTGTCTCTAGGTCTTGCAGATCAACACAATTTCCGTGAAACCATATGTCGCACCCATCACAGGTGACACAATCTTCACCATACTTCTTTGACTACTCGCCACAAGGAAACTTCACTTTTTTTACTCTTGCCCTTCCCTTTGCCTATTTCTGGTCAAGGTCTTTTTCTCCTCTGACGAGCAGGAGTTTCCTGTACTGTTGATGTTCCTGGCATCTCTAGATCTGTTTGAGAGATAATGGAACTGTTCCCAGAAGCGCCAGTCCCTGGATTTGAACTTTGAAAGTCTTGGATAGTATATGTGGTGAAGATGTTAGGACTTGGCAAGCTTTCATAACAAATAATCTTTCTCATCAGATTTTAAGCAAACAGCTTGCTGCAATTATGTTCAACTCTATCGCAAATGAAGCACTTTCTGCTCTCTCTCATGTTAAAGTGGGACTTGAGATTTGACTTACCAATTTGAGAATTGGTCAAACAAAACTCGTTTGGCTTTCCAGTCGACTTAAACACTGTACGACGAAATTAGACACTATTGCCACTAAGATAACTTCTGTGCCGCCTGAAAAGTATGCTAAATGTTGTGCGATGCGTCCAGTGTGTTGGTGTTCTTGTCTGTATGCTTGTC